GATCTTAGAGGAAAAACTTTCTGTCTTCCACAGTTGAGTATTACATTTGCTATAGTTTTTTCATATATGGCTTTTGACATGTGGAGATAGTTTACTTTCACTCCTATCTTTTATTTTTTTATTCTTCAATAATTCTTTTTTTTCTATTTTTTTATTATGTTATGTTAATCACCATACATTACATCATTAGTTTTTGGTGTAGTGTTCCAAGATCATTGTTTGCATATAACACCCATGCTTCATGCAGAATGTGCCCTCTTTAATACCCATCACCAGGCTAACCCATCCTCCCAACACCCTCCCCTCTAGAACTCTGTTTGTATTTCAGAGTCCATAGTTTCTCATGGTTCGTCTCCCCCTCTGATTTACACCCCCTTCATTCTTCCCCTTCTGCTATCTTCTTCTTCTTTTTTTTAAACATATAATGTATTATTTGCTCCAGAGGTACAGATCTCTGATTCAACAGTCTTGCACACTTCACAGCGCTCACCATAGCACATACCCTCCCCAATGTCTGTCACCCAGCCACCCCCATCCCTCCCACCCCCCACCACTCCAGCAACCCTCAGTTTGTTTCCTGAGATTAAGAATTCCTCATATCAGTGAGGCCATATGATACCTTTCGCTGATTGACTTATTTCACTCAGCATAATAACCTCCAGTTCCAAAAGAAAAAACCAAAAGAACAGAGAACAGATCAATGAAATTAAGAGGTGGTACTCTGAAAGAATTAATAAGTTTGATAAACCCCTGACCAGAAAAGAGAAAGGACCCAAATAAATAAAATCATGAATGAAAGAGGAGAGATCACAACCAACACCAAAGAAACACAAACAATTATAAGAACATATTATGAGCAACTCTATGCCAACAATTTAGATACTCTGGAAGAAACAGATGCATTCCTAGAGATGTATCAACTACCAAAACTGAACCAGGAAGAAATAGAAAACCTGAACAGACCTAAAACCACAAAGGAAATTGAAGCAGTTATCAAAAATCTCCCAACAAACAAAAGCCCAGGGCCAGATGGCTTCCCAGAGGAACTCTACCAAACATTTAAGGAATAATTAATACCTATTCTTCTGAAACTGTTCCCAAAAATAGAAATGGAAGGAAAACTTCTAAACTCATTTTATGAGGGCACCATTACCTTGATCCCCAAACCAGAAAAAGACCCCATCAAAAAGGAGAATTACAGACCAATATCCCTGATGAACAAGGATGCAAAAATTCTCACCAAAATACTAGCCAATAGGATCCAATAGTACATTAAAAGGATTATTCACCACGACCAAGTGGGATTTATTCCTGGGCTGCAAGGATGGTTCAACATCCGCAAATCAATCAACGTGATACAATACATTAATAAAAGAAAGAACAAGAACCATATGATCCTCTCAATAGATGCAGAAAAAGCATTTGACAAAGTCCAGCATCCTTTCTTGATCAAAACTCTTCAGAGTATAGGGATAGAGGGTACATACCTCAATATCATAAAAGCCATCTATGAAAAACCTACAGTGAATATCATTCTCAATGGGGAAAAACTGAGAGCTTTTCCCCTAAGGTCAGCAACGCGGCAGGAATGTCCATTGTCACCACTGCTGCTCAACATAGTACTAGAAATCCTAGCCTCAGCAATCAGACAACAGAAAGAAATAAAAGGCATCCAAATGGGCAAAGAAGAAGTCAAACTCTCACTGTTTGCAGATGATATGATACTTTATGTGAAAAGCCCAAAAGACTCCACCCCAAAACTGCTAGAAGGCATACAGGAATTCAGTAAAGTGGCAGGGATATAAAATCAGTGCACAGAAATCAGTGGCATTCCTATACACCAACAACAAGACAGAAGAAAGAGAAATTAAGGAGTCAATCCCATTTACAATTGCACCCAAAACCGTAAGATACCTAGGAATAAATCTAACCAAAGAGGTAAAGAATCTGTATGCAGAAAACTATAGAATACTCATGAAAGAAATTGAGGAAGACACAAAGAAATGGAAAAACGTTCCATGCTCATGGATTGGGAGAACCAACATTTTGAAGATGTCAATGCTACCTAGAGCAATCTACACATTCAATGCAATCCCCATCAAAATACCACCCACTTTTTTCAAAGAAATGGAACAAATAATCCTAAAATTTGTATGGAACCAGAAAAGACCCCAAACAGCCAGAGGAGTGTTGAAAAAGAAGAGCAAAGCTGGTGGCATCACAATTCCAGACTTCTGGCTCTATTACAAAGCTGTCATCATCAAGACAGTATGGGATTGGCCCAGAAACAGACACATAGATCAATGGAAAGAAGAGAGAGCCCAGAAGTGGACCCTCAGCTCTATGGTCAACTCATCTTTGACAAAGCAGGAAAGAATATCCAATGGAATAAAGACAGTCTCTTCAACAAATGATGTTGGGAAAATTGGACAGCCACATGCAGAAGAATGAAACGGGACCATTTCCTTACACCACACACAAAAATAGACTCCAAATGGTTGAAAGACCTAAATGTGAGACAGGAGTCCATCAAAATCCTAAAGGAGAACACAGGCAGCAACCTCTTCAACCTCAGCCGCAGCAACTTCTTCCTAGAAACATCGCCAAAGACAAGGGAAGCAAGGGCAAAAATGAACTATTGGGACTTCATCGAGATAAAAAGCTTTTGCACAGCAAAAGAAACAGTCCACAAAACCAAAAGACAACCGACAGAATGGGAGAAGATGTTTGCAAATGACATATCAGATAAAAGGCTAGTATCCAAAATCTATAAAGAACTTATCAAACTCAACACCTAAAGAACAAATAATCTGATCAAGAAATGGGCAGAAGACATGAACAGACATTTTTCCAAAGAAGACATCCAAATGGCCAAGAGACACATGAAAAAGTGCTCAACATCGCTCACCATCAGGGAAATCCAAATCAAAACCTCAGTGAGATACCACCTCACACCCGTCAGAAAGGCTAAAATTAACAAGTCAGGAAAGGACAGACGTTGGCGGGGATGTGGAGAAAGGGGAACCCTCCTACACTGTTGGTGGGAATGCAAGCTGGTGCAGCCACTCTGGAAAACAGTATGGAGCTTCCTCAAGAAGTTGAAAATAGAGCTACCCTACGACCCAGCAATTGCACTACTGGGTATTTACTCCAAAGATACAAATGTAGGGATCTGAAGGGGTATGTGCACCCCAATGTTTATAGCAACAGTGTCCACAATAGCCAGACTATGGAAAGAGCCAAGATATCCATTGACAGATGAATGGATAAAGAAGTAGTGGTATATATATACAATGGAATATTATGCAACCATCAAAAGGATAAAGTCTTGCCATTTGCAATGACGTGGATGGAACTGGAGGGTATTATGCTGAGCGAAATAAGTCAATCAGAGAAAGACAGGTATCATATGATCTCACTGATATGAGGAATTCTTAATCATAGGAAACAAAGTGAGGGTTGCTGGAGTGGTGGGGGGTGGGAGGCATGGGGTGGCTGGATGATAGACGTTGGGGAGGGTATGTGCTATGGTGAGTGCTGTGAATTGTGTAAGACTGTTGAATCACAGACCTGTACCTCTGAAACAAATAATACATTATATGTTAAAAAAAAGAGATTATAGGAAGGGAAAAATGAAGAAGGGGAAACTGGAGGGGGAGATGAACCATGAGAGACTATGGACTCAGAAACAAACTGAGGGTTCTAGAGGGGAGGAGGGTAGGGGGATGGGTTAGCCTGGTGATGGGTATTAAAGAGGGCACATTCTGCACGGAGCACTGGGTGTTATGCACAAACAATGAATCATGGAACACTACATCAAAAACTAATGATGTAATATATGGTGATTAACATAACAATAAAAAAATTAAAAAATAAATGAATAAAACAGGCTCCAAAAAAAAAAAACTAATGATGTAATGTATGGCGATTAACATAACATAATAAAACAAAAATAAAAATAAAATAAATAAAAATAAAAAAATCTCAGGGTCTTTAGATCCACTGGTCTTGTTGAAGAACAGAGTCCTTCATCTTCATCATTTAGACAATATCCAAGATACACAAAGATTTTCCAAGTCCTTGATTTAGACTTCTTAATTATTAGTGCTAATAACTGAGATTGTAAACAAAAGGAAGTTATCCAAAATAAAAAGAAGTTTTATTTATGAAAAATAAGTTAGTCATTTCTCTATCAAGCCAAAAAGAGGTCAGTGGACAGGAAGATCTTGGCCGTCTCAATAGGTTTGTCTAAACCAGCACACACACAAGCAGAAGATCAGACATAGGTCTGGGCAGGGTAAGCAATCTAGGACCATGTGAACATAGTATGCAAGGATCTAGATGTTGTCAAGTCTAAGAAAGCCAGGCCAGAGCAGGAATGTAAATTCCAGGAGTCCAGGGACATAATCTGTTTCATTCATCTGTATACAGTCATATGCCAGAAATTGTGCCTAACTCGTAGAAATGAAGATTTGTTAGATAGATAACTAATCCATCAACTAAACAGAATTCATGCAGCCATTAAAGTGTTGCTGTAGATATAAAGGTATTGATATACCAGAAAGTGAAAGGTCAAATTGGGAATGACACTTGGAGTGTCATTCCATTTTTGTTCAGGTGTGTATATGTGTAGATATACAAATATCTGGAAAGATATACCGAAATGTCCATGTTGGTTATAATTATCTCTGTACAGTGGGGTTAGGGATAATTTTAACTTCTTTATTTATTTATTCATATTTGCAGCTTTGTTGATGAACATTGGTCACATCCATTATAAAAAGTTTTTTTATATACTATGTGTATGATATGTGTAAGTGTATAATGGTGTTACTGTAAAGATCATTATCCTGGACCTCAGAATATAAGCCTCTTGCTTAATTTCAGAACTCCTAAGGAAGGCCCAGAGTTTCAGTTTGTGAAATGCTGAAGGAGTGAGAAGCTCCTCCTATTCTCACAGCCTCCTCCAACATTTAAAGCGCTTCTGACTGCTTCCCAGCCCACACCCAACAGAGAAAACTATTGTGTCAAAGGGACAGCACCAAAAGGCAAAAGGAAGGTGAGGATAATCGCTGGGGATAGTAGCTAAAAAGGAAATGCTCAGCACTCCAAAGAATGTAAAGAGATTTGGCTCATATGGCACTAGGTTATTAAATGGTTTGGCCTTGTTAAATGAGTTGGTTTTAAATGCTAAACCAAGACATCATAAACAAAGTCTGCAGCCAAGTCTGTGAAACAACTTGGCCTCTTCCACGGAAAGGGATGAGGAGTCTGTGACTTGACTAGTGAGGTATTTTATTAAGTTAGTGCTACTTATTATATTGCCACTGCTACAGTGTTTCAAGCTGATTACTGGCCGCACTGTGAGAGCTTTCTTACCTCTTGTCCCAGTGAAGCAGTATTGATTGATCAACTCCTTGACAGAAGACCATGGCAAAGAAGGTGGCAGTGATTGGAGCTGGGGTCAGTGGCCTGGTCTCTCTGAAGTGCTGTGTGGATGAGGGACTGGAGCCCACTTGCTTTGAGCAAACTGAAGATATTGGAGGGCTGTGGAGGTTCAAGGTAAGTAAGATCTCCATGTTTCTTGAACAGATTGTGCCTACAGATGGGCCTTATTGGGGTATTTCCTAAGCAACTTTGATCAGACTTATTTCATGCAGCTACACAGGAACTAAAGAAATAGGCTGTCATCTCTCCCAGATCATTACTACCCTACCCCAGCTGGCCAACCCAGGCATGCAAAGGACCTTTTCTTATGGATCATGCAATTTCCAGCCCACATTCTTGTGATTCTCAAAGCCACACACTAATATTCGAGAGCATATTACAAAACAGAAGTGACAGGAATTCTTTTCAAGATGCCACTTACATTCCAATCACTGAGCAGCTGCTTTTTCAGAGACTGTGCTCTTACGACTACTGACTATTTTTCTCTGACAAATAAACCACATTTGTTTGCTTAGCTTTATTGATGACACTCTAGGGTAACTGCTAGGAAACTCTTTAAAGATATTATTGGGATGCCAGGGTGGTGCAGTAGGTTAAGCGTCCAACTCTGTTTCCGCTCAGGTTGTGATCTCAGGGTCCTAAGATCGAGCCCGATATCTGGCTCCATGCTCAGCGTGGGGTCTGTTTGAGATTCTCTCTCCCTCTGCCCCTCCTGCTTGTGCTCTCTCTTTCTCTCAGATAAATAAATAAATCATTAAGAAAAATAAAATAAAATAAAAAGATGTTATTAAATATATTCATTCAGTTCATTCTATTAGCCAAACCTAAATATTGATAATGCTATCCATTCAACAGTTTTTACATAAAAATTAGAAAGATATCTAGATAGACAGCTGTATAGATTCATAATTATTCTTTCCCACAGTCTTTTGAATTTAAGTACTAGCTTGCCACCTCCTCAGTGCAAGATCTTGGGCAAACTTATTTACATCCCTATGTCTTAGTTTTCTAAGTGTAACCAGGATAATAATAGAATAGTGTAATTATTTCACAGTGCTGTTTTGAAGATTAAGGGAGATAATTCATGTAAAAAACTTAGAGTGCAATAAATGTTAGTTACAATAATTATATTTATATTTTATAGATAAGCAAACAGAAACTGAGGGAAGTTAAATAACTTGATCATGGTCACACAGCTAGAGGAATTGGCATTCAAAACCAGGTCTCTATGACTTCTAAACAGCTAACCCCCTACTTATAACCATGCCCAACTTGCATTTTTGCTCAAAAAGTTTAAACAGAAGTTCCAGCTGAGAACTCCAAAGCAATAACTTTAGGACTGTGTATCAGGTACATCTAAGTGAGGGATAGAACAGGTGAGAACACTCTAGACAAAAGCAAAAGGTTTGAATATGCTACAAGCAGATTCTGACATCAGCAGAGACCATCCAAAGGGCTCTGCCTATAAGCCGACCAATTATGGGGAAGGCATGACATCTAGCACATGTGCTTTGCAAGTCTGAACTGAATTTTATGCCAAAACAGATTTTTTTGGTTTAAGATTTTTGAGAAACCTTAGGTTTCTTAAATGTATATGACTATAAGACACACCCAGAGTGTTTTTTAAAGATACTTAACACCAAGTAAATTATTTAATTAAATAAAGATACTTAACACCAGACCAGACTTCAGTAAGTAAGTAAGTGATCTTCAGTAAGATCAAAATCTTCTGAGGAGAGGAATCTGTTTTTAACATGAGTCCCAAATGAATCGTATGATGAGACAAGTTTGGCAAACAAATTGCACAAATACTGAATAAAAATCTATTCATTCAACTATACAAACACAATCAGAGCTAATGATGGAGTTGTTGATACTTATATAGGACAGGTAACTTGCAGAGAGGAAACTGGAAAAACAGCTTGAATCACATTCATTGCTTACTAACAGCTGGTCATTAGAAACATTATTATAGCTTTGCCTGAGAGGGTGATATAATAAGGTGGTCATTTCTGTCTTAACCAAAGATTTTTTGTTGTTGTTGTTGTTCACTCTAGGTTCACAAACAGACTCCACTGATGTTCCCCACCCCCCAGGTAGATTTTTTAACCTAAGGAAGAAATGTGAAGTTATAACAAATTAATATTTAATAATAAATTTGTCAGTCTTTTATTACCTGATTTGGGACTTAATATCAAAAAAGCCTAATGTCCCTTACTTGATTATCATCCATTTGGCAACAGAAGAGGTGAGAGTTATTTTGAATGATCTGGCAAAAATATGATTTGATGAATTCCAGGAGGATTTCTTTCTGCCCCAAAATATTTTTCCTACACAGTTCCCAGTGTCTAATATTTCAGAATTAGAGATATCTCCCTATGGGTTGGAAAAGTTAGATTACAATTTGAATTAATTAAATCTTATTAGATATAAAATGCTTAAGTATATAATTTCCTGAAACCTATAACAATATCACATTTCAAACCTCTCAAAACTATATCCAATAAAGAAACATAAACAATTTTCTCAACTCAAACAAGACAAATAATCTCCCTGCAATGTGAAACATACAGGATGCAAAATTTCACAGGTGGCCAGTGGACTCATGTGAAGGTCTTGATTACCAACAGACTGGGTTGCCCAAGGGAGGAGGTACTGAAAAGGATGCTGGAGCCACCATGCCCACTCCCCCGGGAAACTTTGCCTCTTCGGTACTCTACCATCCAGAATCAATTTTGAAAATGGGTTATTCTTTATTTTCTATATTTACACACAATCCTTCTAAGGTCACTTAATATATTTAGTGCTGACAAGTTAAAACAAAATTTAAGAATCCTTGCCCCATGCCCAGCTCAGAGTGCGAGCTGAAGTCTTCCAAAAGGTTCTCCAGCAGCCCCTAGTGGTAGCTTTGGAACATGGGCAGGGTGGGTAATTAACATATTTTTAGCATTTTTCCAGCAATGGAAAAGTACTTGCTGTGCATTCTCTTATTTTTTCTTCACAATACTCCTAAAAAGTAGTGTTGGGGAGCAAGAACTCCTGCCCCCTCAAAAGTCCTTCCAGCTGGACTGAGTCAAATTGACGTAAGAGAGATTAACAGGAGAAAATCAAATTTAATAGGTGTAGCACAGGGAATCCACATAGACGTGAATTCCAAAGACAGGCAAAATGAGGTATGTATGTCATTCTGAACTAAGGAGAAGGGGGTGTGGTTCTGGGACTTCAGAGGAAAGGAATACATTTCACAGGGCCATAAGAAGAATAGATGCTTGGTAATTAGATACTTGCCCTACCATTCAGATGGGTCACTCAGATAAAATTTATCTCTGTTAATAACCCTTACTCTGGGAAATACCCGCAATTTAGATTCTTCTGTGTGGTTAAGGGGGTACAAAAGTTCTCTTGAGCCCATCAGGTCTCAAGTGCTTCCAGCTCAAAATAATCCACATGCCAAAGTGGCATGTTTGGGGCAGAGGGCTGTCCTGAACCCCTTCAGTAGGTATTATGATTATCCTCAAGGACATGTGAAGAGGAAGCTGAGATTTGGAATGAACAACTTGTCCAGGGGAACATAGATGGTGGAAAAAGCACAAAAATGAAGGTCTGTAAGATACCTGAACCCCCGTAGTTGATCATCTTACTGAGGTGTTAAGAGAGGAAAGCATGATCTTCCTTTAGCCACTAATCTTCTCTGCCTCTTTCATTGTTCCTGACACCTGCGTTCACAGGAAAGTTACCAATATACATTGGTTTTTTGCTTGTTTGTTTTTTACATTTGGATATAAATATATCTTTTCCTAGCTACATATACTCAATTATTTTAATTAATCTTCATATAAGTCTCTCCATCTTGGTTTCCTTCCTCTAGATTCAATCTGAAATTTTACTTTCTCTCTTAAAATGTGACTCCCACAAGATCCAATATTCCAAACCAATTTATTTTTATAACATATATATTTTTCAGAACTAAAGAGGTGCTTGGCATTGCTTTAGACAATGGGGAATGAATTGGACACAATCACTGCCCTCAAAGAATTTATAATCAACTGCTCTAACAATTGCCCTCTATGACTTATGCTTCACTTGGCCTGGATGGTCTGCCTCTACTAAAACAAATTTAATGTTGCATTAGCTTTTCCTGCATTTGCAAAATTAAAGCTATCATTCATATTATTTTCACATGAATTATATCATTTTATACTCACAATACTCTTTTACATTATTTATTATTAATTTCAACTTAAATATAAGAAAACCAAGGGTAAATGGCTTACCCATAGTGACTAATAAATGGTAGTTGATAGGTCTTAGAAGTAGCCACAATAGTGAGATTAAACATACATAAGTTCTCCATCATGCTTTGTCTCACATAACTCCAATCACTTATATTAAGTTTGAGATCAATTAAAAGTTCTAGATCTTGGGATGCCTGGATGGCTCAGTTGGTTAAGCATCTGCTTTCGGCTTGAGTCATGATCCCATGGTCCCAGGATCGCGTCCCACATCGGGCTCCTTGCTCAACAAAAAGCCTCCTGCTGCTTCCCCTGCTTGTGCTTTCCCTCTCTCTCTCTCTCTCTCTCTGACAAATTAATAAAATCTTTAAAAAAAAAAAAAGTTCTGGCTGCCGCGGTCGGGTCCGCGGCCTGCGCTGTAGCGGTCGCGGTTCCTTGGAAGCAGCCACTCCCCTCCCCGACCCTGTTCCCGGTCCCCGTCCAGCAGCTGACGTGAAGATGAGCAGCTCAGAGGAGGTGTCCTGGATTTCCTGGTTCTGTGGGCTCCGTGGCAATGAATTCTTCTGTGAAATGGATGAAGACTACATCCAGGACAAATTCAATCTCACTGGACTCAATGAGCAGGTTCCTCACTATCGACAAGCTCTAGACATGATCTTGGACCTGGAGCCTGATGAAGAGCTGGAAGACAACCCCAACCAGAGCGACCTGATTGAGCAGGCTGCCGAGATGCTTTATGGATTGATCCATGCCTGCTATATCCTCACCAACCATGGCATCGCCCAGATGTTGGAAAAGTACCAGCAGGGAGGCTACTGTCCCCGTGTGTACTGTGAGAACCAGCCAATGCTTCCCGTCGGCCTTTTGGACATTCCAGGTGAG